AAGCGAAATAATGGATAGGGGACACCCCACGGCTGTGGCGTAGGCGGGAGGGGGCACATGGCCCCGAATATTTGTAGAAAACATTTATTAAAAACTTATTGATACCGGCGCTATATAAATATCCATATTATTATTATTTCTGAACAAACAAAGAAAAAGCCATATAGTTTACGAGGATCGAGCAAGAATACCGACACAGCGGACCCGACACAGCAACAAAATTATCTATGCGTATCTTTCTTGCTTCCTCGAGGTGGCGACGCCACCAAACATACCCCCTCTCTATTTGTTTCAAAAGATGCGCAAGATTTGGAAGAAATAGTCAACAAACATCGGTGGGGGGGGGGGGGGTCATCCTAACACGTCCCCGAAGGAGGGGCATAATGCCCCGGGCTGACTAGGGTTAATTAATTTATTCTACTTAGAACACGACATTTTATGACAAACTTGGTCGCTGATTAACTACAGAGCTTGTTTTACAAAACTGTGTTCATAGCCGGGATTATGATAGTCGGCGGCATTGTTGGTAACACTTATTAATTGTTGGATTTAACTATTTATCGATTCCATTGTTTAAGCCAATATGTATGGAGACATAGGCGCCGGAATTGTGGGAAGGGGGGGGGTAAAATGCATTTCCACCGTCCCTAAAAATCCCCCCCCCCCCCCCTCCGCCGAAAAGAAAATCAGCAGTAAAGGATTAGTAAAAATGGTTTTTAACCAAAAACATGACAATTTTTTTATAATAAAACCTGAATTGAATTTTCTAAACATTCCGCAAGCCTCTATATTAATCAATGGAGAATTTTATGATAGCGATACGCGCGGAAATATCGAGGAAATAATGTGAGAGGATGGGAAAGCGTGTTTTTTCTTCTTCTTCTTCAAGGGTTGAGAAGACATGAGCCCCCTGAACACTGGCTTGCTGATGGGGGGGGGGGGGGGGGTTGAGGGGAGGTGGCAGTTGCCCCCCCCCCCCTCCGAATAATCTTTCAATCGTGGTTTATTTCTCATTCGATGCCAGTGATTTACAAATGTTGCTGAAATTACATGATTTTTCGGAATTTTTTCTCAAGTATTTTGGTAAATTATACTTTTTTATGCGTTCAATTGAAAATTACGAATTCCCAAATTTATAGTCAGGCAAAAAATATGCTTATTTATAAAGATACTGTAGATCAATTTGTAGAAAGTTTCGGTAACACCGCCACATTTTACGACTGCCTTTTTAACCGATCCTGGCATAGGTTTGATTTTCTCAAATGGGTCTTCTCTCAAAATGTAGACGATCATTTACGCATTAAAAAAATAATACAAAGCGTGTTTTCATCTTCTCCTAAGGAGGCATTGTGTAGAAGCAGGGGCGGCGATTTCTTTTCATGACCGGGGGGGGGGGAGGGGGACGAAATGCGAGGAACGAGTGAGGAGTGACGTAATGAGAAAAAACGTTTTTGGGGGGAGAAAAAAAATCCGCATCATCACCGCTCTTACATGTTACATAAAGGCCCCGCGGAACGTTTTTCAAGGTGGGAGTGGGGGGGGGGGGCTAAAGTGTTTGCGATCAGATAGAGCAAAGCAAGTGGGGCGTAAATTGGCGTGGGGTCCAGGGGCGGAGCCCCATGAAGCTCAGAGTTTTTAGGCATTTAATAAGGGTCAGATGAGCATATTTTGATACCTTATTTGTGACACTTGCATGCAGGTCACTAATCGGAGTGGGGTCCAGGGGGCGAAGCCCCCAGACGCTCAGCGGTTTTAGGCATTAAATTGCGTTCAGATGAGCATCCAGGGGCCGCCTTAGGGCCCTTGGTGGGGTCTAAGGGCGGAGCCTCCGGAAGCTCAGGGTTTTAGGCTTTTGAATATGGTCAGATGAGCATCCAGTGGCCCGCCGAGGGCCCTGGTGGGGTCCAGGGGGCGAAGCCCTCGGAAGCTCAGGTGTTTTTGGCATTTAATTGTGGTCAGCTGAGCAACCAGGGGCCCGCCTTAGGGCCCTTGGTGGGGTATAGGGGCAGCAACATTTGTAAATTAGTCACTGGTATCGAATTAGAAATAAACCACGTTTGAGTTTTATCGGGAGGGGGGGGGGGGACTGCCCCAAGCCCGAGTGAGTGAGCATAATTAATGAGAGGGGTGAAGGTGACGAAAGTGATTACCCCCTCATAGGTTTTGAAGTTTTGTTGTATTACAGAATTATATTCCTTAGCAAAACTTTAGTATGAAAACAAACAATGTACTGTTTTCACACTTCACTTTTCTACAATATTTACTTGTACATTTTGAAGGATATTATGCGAGGGAGCAGAGCTCCCGAGCCAGAAGATTTTCGCATCTTTATTTGTCTAAACGCTGCACACTTGGGCCCTCCAAAGCCTAATAGTGTATTACAGTCTTTAGTCAGTATTTGCTGTACATTATTTTTTTGCACTCTTTCAAATTTCCCCTACAAAAATCGAGGGAGGGGGGGGGGGGGGGGGGACGTGTCCCCCGTCCCCCCCCGGATCGCCGCCCCTGTGTAGAAGTATATGACAGTGGCGGATCCAGGGGGGGGGGGGGCCGGGGGGCCCGGCCCCCCCCCCTTGAGAAAAAAATCATGTAAAATCACGTGATTTTTACCTTTTTTGTGCTCACTACCCCCCCCCCCCCCCTCTTCGAGTTAAGACGATAATTTAAGAGCTTCATCTCTTCAGCTCTAAATTTGTTTCCTGTACATCACTTACAATCACAAGTACATCTCACGTGAATCATTTCTACATTTCAATTCGGAGCTCTTTCACCCCCGGCCCCCTCCCCACTCCGTGATCGGAGGGATAACATGCGTGTTGCCAAAATGTCCGGTAAAAGGGGGACTTTTCACGCACCAAGGTCCGGCTCGTAGTACACAAAAGCCCGTTTTACACACCGGACTTAGGGGGTGTTTTCAAAAGGAGGGAACATACATATGCGTACCCTAAATAACACTGGGTGGGGGGGGGGGCGGGCGGGCTTTCACCTCACCTGGGTAATATCTTCATACATATTAAACATAATTTCTCTGCTATTTACCCAGGGAACACTCCAAAATCTCGCTTGTGCTAGCTGAGTAACTTCTCGCCAGGTACCTTAAAAGGGTCATTTACCAGAGATGAAAAGGGGCACTTATGAGAATAAAAAGCGACACTTTTCATAGGTGAAAAGAGGCATTTGTGAGAAGGGGAAGGGACTATTTTTTTAATGGGGGCACTTATCATAAGGAAAAGGGGCACATGTGAAAATAAAATGTGCGCTTTTCCGAGTTAAAAAGGGGTAGTTATTATTATTTTTCTAAATTTTGTCCAGGTAGTCGAATCTGTTAAACACCTTTTTGTTCTTTAAAAAAAAAAAAAAAAATTAACGAGACAAAAACAAAAACAAATCGAACTGAAGCATGCATTGGACATATAGATGGATAGACAGTGACTAATTTCCCTTATAATTTAATTTGACTCTTACGTGAATGGGGAAAAAACAGTTGATACAAATTGGAAACCAGTAGAAATGCTGGTAAATCAACTGGTATTACCATCTACTGGTTTTCAGCTGGTAACGCAAATGGTAAATCAACTGGTAATATCAACCGGTCTCAGATGTCAACTGGTATTTCTACTGGTTTCCAAATGGTATCAACTGGAATTTCGACTTGGGGAAGCACATAAACAAGCGCGTAGCCAGGATTTTATTTTAGGAGGGGGGGGGGGGGGGGGGGGGGGTAGTGAGCACGTGAAGCGTGCGAATCACATACAGAGCGTGCTCCCTAGGGGTGGGTGCAGGGAAGGGGGGATTTCCCCCTCCCCGCGAAGCGCGGAAGCTTTGACGTTTCATTAAATTATTAGAGAAAGAAGACGATTCGTTGTACCGTTCTCGACCCTTATTCCTTGTCTGAATTCAGTCCCCCCCCCCTCCCGCGCGTAGAGCGTCAGAATCTCAGAATGGTGTCCAGACATCGCTTAGAAGCAATAACGTCTAGATCGAGAGGCTTTTCAAGAAGCATTGACGCGATTATTAGATACATTATTAGAGAAAGAAGACGATACGTTGTGACGTTCTCGACCCTTAATCCTTGGTCTGAATTCATTCCCCCCCGCTCCCCTCCTGCGCGAAGCGCGGAAGCTCGGACGTTTCATTAAATTGTAAGAGAAAGAAGACGATTGGCATACCCTTCTCGAGTCTTAATCTTCCTACCGCGCGAAGCGCGGAAGCTTTGACGCTTCATTAAATTATTGGAGAAGATGACGATTCGTTGTACCTCTTCCTCTTCCTTTTTTCTCTTCTCTTTTGTTTTGTTTTTTGGTCGGCGTTTGTTTTTCTTCGGGGCGACCGCCCCCACCGCCCCCCTGGCTACGCGCCTGCACATAATTGACCATTTGCGAACTACGAAATGGTCTATTGAAATACAATTATTCGTAATCTGTAACGAGGCACTTCACAAAGATTTGCATAACAATTGATTAGGCCCTCAAGGCTCGAGCTGGCTTCACTGGCCGCGCCATGCGCATGCGCCAGGCCGTGGGCTACCGCCGATCCGATCTCAAGTCGAGTTACGTCATGGCGCGGAAAATTCCATGACGGCTGCGCTGAGCGTCGATCTTGATCTAGTCTTTGTATTCATGCCGTTTTGATACTTATAGATTGCAGCTGCATGTCACGTGTTAGACAACACAAGGCTTTATGATTAAAAAACTCTTGCTCATTTTGTATAAAGCATTTAATTGGAATAATATGAAGATATTAAAATATTTGAAAAGATATGGCTGCGAGTTAGAGGTGTACTCCCATTTTCCCCAAATATCTGAGTTGTGATGATCTTCCATAATTCAATGCAAAGCCTAACAACTGCATTTTGATGATAAGTATGCATAATTGTCAATTCATATTTAAGTTTGAGATATATTAGTGGTTTTGTAGGAAATTTAATGTGTTCATAAATTCTTGATTTCCTCATAAAAGTGCTGTAATAACAAAAATAACGACTGCAAATCTAAACTATATATCACCTGACCTAATGAATATTCATGAACCTTCACAATTTTAGTACGCGTGCATATATAGTAGGAGGAAATTTTGTGTGCACTTTATTGATGATCACGATGGCTGCCCGTGTGGAGAAAAGCGGAGAGGTAACATGTTATTCGATTTATTTCACTTCTGCTTAATTAATTGATTTGAAAATGAGACATGTGAATAGTGTGATATATTGCGGTTGCGCTTAAATAACTGCCATTAAATATTCTCATGTTCTTCTAAGCAAATTTTGATGATGCCGGGTGTCATTGTGAATGTAATTTGCGTGAGTGTGTGCAAATGGTTTCGCGTGGCCTTGCGTGGTATGTAACTTCGGCAGACTCACAGTGCCGACGATCTCCGACCTGAGCGGAGGAAGGATACAAGAGAGAGGTGCAGTGCAGTGATGTGCGTGCATAGTGCAGTGTGGTGGTAAAGAGGAGGATGGCCGATGGTGGTGGGCATGGATGGATGTGAGAAATGGTGAAAATCAAATTGCAGATGATAGTTATGTGTAATGTTGTCCAATATGATCGCAATTAATCCGTTGCCTCAACCTTGCTTCACTCACTATGGAGCAGACTGCATGACTGCAAGTTTAAACTTAAGATTTGAAGGCAGAAGTCAGCTTTTTTTTGGGGGGGGGGGGGGGGGGGGGGAGGGCAGGGCGCTTTGCTCCACCATTTGCTAAGTCTGATGATTAATCCCCCCCCCCCCCTTGAAGTTGTGCTAAAGAAGTCTCCACCTCTTCTGCCCATGTTCAACATATTTCACTCTGACTCTCGTAGTGGTACATGTATTTTATAAATGCTTTGTCTTTGAAGTACAAAACAAAAGTACTAGACCTAGTAGATCTAGACCTAGATGATCTAGGTCTATCTAACTCTAGATAGATCTATACAGGTAGGCCTAGACCTACTTGTTATTTTAAGACCCTATTCAATGAAAAATCAACTTTATAAAAGTGGAAAACTGAATGAATGTAGAATACAAATATAAAGGAATAACAAGTATTTTCCCTTTCAGTATTGCCCAAAAGCAAATCAAAACCTCATTTTCAGCACCCCTCCAAACTACAAGTCAATAGGGGTCCAATTTTTCGCAGTTACAGTGACGACATAACATGTGCACTCGATCGGCTCACCAATATAGCTGAGGCAATGAGCCGTGCTTAATTAATGCAAAGTCATTGTGAATATGCATACTCCACATAAGAAGATGTCAACAATTCGATAGCTAGCTTTTAGGTCAACAACTCCCGATTTTCAAAGCTTTGGATTTTGAGATTTCAGAGAGCGGTTATTCCTCTGACAGTCAATACTCACTAAAAGTAGCATATAATTGGTTTTATTGTAATATTATCTATGGCTCGTAAACTTTCCTTTTTAAATTCATCTACTTCATATTTCACTTTGGATAGGGTCCTCAAATAACAGACAGAGAATGATATTTTTTCTAATGTGATAGTGATACTAGCTAGAGTAAAATGCTGTATCATGTCCATCCTTGAAATGAACAGTATATACTTGTACCATAGTTGTTATAAAAACAGGAAATGTGAGCTTATTATATTAGTGCCCTGTGAGCAATGCACCTAAGTACATGTAGTCTCCAGACCAGATAATTAACACTACATGGAAGGTTTGGAGTTTCATTTTCCATGAATCGGGCACATGTTGTACTTGTAGTAAACCGTCTTGTACTAAGGTTGTGTAGAGATCAACATGGAGTTCTACACTGACATCCATTGGCAGTGAACATAAAACCCATTGGAACTGGATGAAACCGGATGAAACTGGGTGAAACCGGATGAAACTGGGTGATAGAACATCCAGTAGTCAATGGGTTAAGGATAAAGAAATATTCAATTTAAAAATCGCTCCAAAAAAAATATAGAGATCAGTCAAATGAATGTCTCTAATATATTCTTTACAATTACATTAATTACATTTCAATCAAATTCAATAGAGCAAAACAATTTTGAGAATTTTTTATTGCACAAAAAATTGAATGAATAGGAAATGGAACAGAGCAAAACTAAAGCTCTTGAGATAAAGTTCATGTATATTGCTGCTGAAATAATGGTACTATTCACTACTATTGAACCACTGTAATTTCCTACACTTTGATTTTAGGTTCTTGTTGTGTTTTTTTGGGGGGGGGGGGGTGGGGGAGGGGGTTAAAATGTTAATGAACTGACATGTGTTTTACCTTTATATTGATATTGTGTGTTCTTTGTTAAGAATCCCTCGATAGAGAGAGAGAGAGGTAGAGATAGATAGAGATGGATGGAGAAAAGGGGGAGCAGGGAGAGAAGGGCCGAGGGTGGGGGGGGGGGGGGGTTAGAGAGAGAGAGAGAGAGAGATTAGCACTTACTGTAATGTAATGTAAGACCTCATGCAATACTCTTCCTTTGAAAAACTGCAGAAGGAGTGGTTGTACTTACCCTATTTTGAAAATCACTTGGAATTCCATCAATTAATTTATATACAGTAATCCCCCAAACTGGACCCCCATTTTTGTTCGTTTATTTGACCAAAATTATTTAAGGGACATTCCAAGTGGTTACTGTAGTGTAACAATTGAAATGAAGCATTCAATAGCTTCCTGACCAAGGCATAGAGCCACCTACATGTATGTACAGTCCTACATTGGTTTCATGCGAAGCACTCCCTTTGCTTCGACTACACACATAATGCTGGTACATGTAGTAAACACTGTGAAGCGGTATTGTGTTCAGTGTGTGTGTGTGTATATATAGTGGAATCTACATGTAGAAGATTGCAATGCTGTGTGTCTTGACATTAGCATAGCTTGACATTTAGGTTTGTTTTCTACATGCAGGCCTGGCCTGGTAGGCTTTCGTTATAATCCATTCCATCTCCCTAGTATAAATAATATCATCGTACTGACATCTAGGTTTGATCTCTACATGCAGGCCAGGCCTGGTAGGCTTTCGGTATAATACATTGACAAGTACCGGACACTCAACAACACAAAAATGCATGGATAAACGATTTACATCTTTCAATTCATCAAATTATCCATAAATCATGAAGGAAAATTGTGGATTGTTGTCCAAAAAGCAAGGAAACACAAAGTTAATGGTGTGTTGACCCCTGTCTAAATTTTTGCAATCTCTTGTCACTTCGGAAACAAAAAGGGTGCAAATACTGCAATTAATACTAATTTTGGTTGCTCATGGAGTTATTTGTTATATGATGTTGTTTTCAGTTTTGACATGTACATTACGGCATGTCTACTCTCCCACACAGTAGTTACTTCTACATCCTGTTTCTTTTGTGTACCAGGTTCTACATTCACTGCTGCAAATTTAAGAAAGAGAAACCAAATTTCCATGGTCTTATATCTTTGATAAAAATTAAGTTTAAATCTGCATATGTAATTGCAGCCAAATATGGCAAGTTAAGCCTCCATTTTAAAAAGTTTATATTTGAGTTGTAGTGGAATATATGATGTTTTGTCATTTCACATTCCTGTACATGATTGTAATTAGCCAGTTGGCTTTCATGTTATTTTTGAGTACCCAATAAAAAAAAATTATAAAAAAAAAGAAAAAAAGAAAAAAAAGAAGGGTAAAAAAAAAAAAAAAAAAAACCTACATCCTGTTTTTGTAATAAAGAGGAGTTTTTGTGTGGTTATGTTGACTCAGTATTGCGCATTCAAGTGTAGAGGAATCACTTCTCAGTGCTTTATATAGATAGCAATGTAATGTTTCCTCCCTAATGGTGTTAATGCATTAATGGAAAAATACTGTGGGAAGAAAACTGTCTACTGTTATTCATAAACCAGAATTATTTAATAAAGGTACATGTACATGACAACATTGACTTTTTAACACTTAATACTAGGAGATACCAGTACATTGGATTTCTGTGTCTCTTTTTTCAGAGAGAGAGATTGTATACAGCTACATTGACTTTAGCAGAACTTTAAGGAATAAGTGTAGTTTGAATTCAATTGTAGAATTTCTGTCATATAATCTCCTCTATAGTAATGGTAACCATTTAAAACAAAGTTAAAGTTTACCAGTTTCTGGCTATCTTAATACAATTGGAGATGTTTTTTCTTCATACCAAACTCCATTGATCATTATTAACCCACTACAGTTCCTTAATCTTGGTTTTATTATAGGCACAGGTGAAGTACAGTACATGTAGGTACCTCATATTTGAACAATGATTACAATGGGGTTATTTATCAGTCAGTATCAGATAACAAATTGACAAATAATGAGATGAAAGGGTTTTAGTTTAAAGTTTACCAATTAGAAGCTCTATCAATAACCTACATGTGTGATAACTTACATGTACTATCCAGATAGATTTAAAGGTAAAGACCAGTTATGGTCATGCAATTGCATTGTGAAAGAAACGTTGCGGAATCGATCAGAAAAGGTTGATCATCTAGCATCTAGCATCTGCAAGGTTCTGGAATCATCAAAATGATAAGAAATTTGGCCCATTCTTTGTAAAGTTACAAGCACTATACACAGAAAGTTGTATATGGGACTACCCTATATCTCTCACAGTCAAATAGATATAATAATTTACCAAATATATCTATTAGTAGGCGGTTTCCCAGCAAATTTGTTATCATGTATTAGTCAAAACATATTCTTTCACATGATTGATAATGAGAGCTTCCATTTCATTTTTTTTTAAATTGGGGCGTTTCCAATACTGGTCTTTACCTTTAAATGGAAAGGATGTGATCTGCAAGAAGATTTTCTTGTGAGCTGTGCAAGAAAATACTGAATGTTTGTATTCTACTTGATTCTTAAACCATGCGATGGGTCTCGGTGATAAGATGCATTTTCATTTTAGACACCAGCATTGAAACGATTTGTATCCAATCTGACTTGTACAGGCCAACGCCAGATAATTGAGAAAGGAATTAGATGTGAGTAGGTTCTTTATTGAATGTGTTTAAAATGTTAAGCCATAGTGAACAAAGAAACCTAATTAATTGCGCTGTTAATCCTTAGTCAATAGGGCTCTTGGATGCTTATTCCTTGATTAAGCTTGTAATCCTGAGTGTCTGCTGGAAATTAATAGGTTTCATTGAATGTCCTTATTCTGTACAAGTCCTGTAT